AGGGGGTTTCGGGCTTGAGGGCAGAAAAGGGATAGGGTCTGCAGCTGGCAACACTTCTTCCCGGTCTTTACCTTTTTTGTTGCTTATCTGCGCACTTGCACTGCTTGGGTCCAATACTGGGCCCACTTCTTGCGCTTAGGCTCCTTTGCCGCCGCCTTCAGCCGAGTGTCGGGGGCCGAGTTCTCTGTGGAATGAACAGCCCCTAAAGCTTAAGATAGAGACACATAAGCTTACCACCACTATTCTGAGCAGTCCTTACTACCGACGAGTTTCATACCCCAGAAGAGCTTAGAACTGAAGGCCCCGATATTGAACCCAAGCTCTTCAAGTCAGGACCTTACCTACAATCACCTCATTGCCTGCTCGACCTCCTCGGCAAAAGCGCCGTCTGCATCCGAGCCGCTCTCTTCAACAAGGGCTCAGGTTTAGGGCTCAGGGAGTTGGAGTTTGGCATTATTCCGGGGGCTTCCGGTTCCGACGGCAACTAAAGTATACCGTACCATACCCCAGCCTACCCTATTTCCCTCGTTGTGGCATGTTACAGCCCTTATATGAGCTTGTTTTTGAGACTTTCCCCCTAAGCGCGAATTACACGTCTGCCCAGGCTGCTGTCGGCGATGCATGACAGGGCCTTGGAGCCTTGGCGATCTCGACCTCCTACACCCTACACCCTAAACCCTAAACCCTGAACCCTGAACCCTAAATCCGGTTTCAAGCCCTCGGGGCTGAGTAATTCGTGGTGAGCCCGTGAGTCCTTAGCCACCACCACGACGCTGGCACTGCCAAGACTACTACTAATGTAGGAACCTTATTAAGAAAATCTGGGCCTACAACCCCCAAATAGTAGGATTCATGTAAGGAACCCTAATAAAGGCCCAAGGTTTCTTAATCAGGTTCCTACATCACCCCTCTTCGTTCAGTCCGAGCCTGAATCGGCAACCCGAGTTGCATGGCGAACTAAGGAAGCGAGCGTTGTAACGCCGCTCGGCTTGAAACCACCCGACCCTGTCAGCGGAGTTCTTTTGTGGCACTTCACTGGCTTCGGTGTGTTTGTATGTCGGCTGTATTTATTGGCTGTCTTTGTTTGTATGTTTGCTGTTGTTGTGCTGTACTACTATACGCTTTATGTAGCCAGCTGTTTATGTTGGTGTCAGTGTTGGTTTTGTTGTTGTTCGTTGTACTGTAATTTTGGCCCGCCATCGCTGTGTTTGTCTTTTGTTCTTTGTAGATTTAGCCTATGACCTATGACCTATGATGGGTATTGTCTGATATGTTGGGTCTTCAGATATGTTGGTAGTATTTTCTGTTATGTTTGTGATCTTTTCTGGTATGTGGGTAGTATTTTCTGGTATGTTGATGATACTTACTTGTATCTATTTCACTATTTGTATTTATTGGTATTTATGTGTATTTGTTGGTATGTTGAATAATGACAAAAACGTGGCTTGATGAGAATACCCCGCTGGTTCTATTGATTCTACTCCTACTCCTACTCCTACTCCTACTCCTACTCCTACTTCTACTCCTACTCCTACTCCTACTCCTACTCCTACTCCTACTCCTACTCCTACTCCTACTCCTACTACTACTACTACTACTACTACTCCTACTACTACTACTACTACTACTACTACTACTACTACTACTACTACTACTACTACTACTACTACTACTACTACTACTACTGCTCAAGGAATTACAAGAAAAGCATCAACATCTGAGAGGTACAACAACTTGCTTGCTTGCTGCAAGAGCGGCCGGCAGGAGGAGCAGGAAGCGTTTCGGTTTCTAGGTTTCCTTCAGGGGCTTTTCGGCGGCAGGGATGTGACGTAGAAGTATTAGTGAAAGTTGCAACGATTCCGGAACTCAAAGTGGTCATCAGCAGGTTTCGCGGCATTCAGGACCCTTTTTTTTGATCAGTTACGGTCCGGGAAGCTCCGACCTGCGTGGTTGTCAGTGTTCAGGGATTAGGGTGCCATGTGTGTACGAAGTTGTTAGCATGTGTGTGCAGGCGTTCGACACCCGCGCAGTACAGCGGAACCACCCCGCCAAACACCCCGCACCGCATACGCTACAACTCAGAAGCCAGCGTTCGTTTTCGATCGCTGCGCAACCAAGCGTCGCTAGCAGACTGATGACACCGTAGAGGCTTGGCGGATTTTCGTGGAGATGCGAGCTGAGAGGGTGGAGCCTAATGCAGCTTGAATGCAATGATGCAGGCGGCTCGCCGCTGCCAATACAGGGGCCTTAATAATTAGCTATACTAGTTACTAGTTTGGGTCATAGTATCATGGGCCCCAAAACCCAATTCTAATATTCAGGGCCCCCATATTAACCTCCAAATCTTGTCCTGCTTCGTCACGGTGGGGAGCCAACCTGAGGCGGTGACTTGAACATCAGATGTTTCGAAGGCCCAATTCCTGCTCCTCCTATTCTCCTTTTACCTCTTCTTCTACTACTACCGGCATGTCTTCTGCAGCTTCAGCTAATTTTGTAGCAGTGTTGTTGGCTATCACGGTGGTGTTACCTTCACAGGGTTTGTCGCTTGTTTAGAACGGGTGTGTCCAAAACATCCGTGAAGAACTGGTCTTCGCTGTTGTTGTTTATGGCACCGACGTGCTGTTCACGCGCGCCGCGCAGACGCCGACCACATCGGTATTTACGGTGTTTTCTGAACCTTGCAGCCGAAAACGTCGCGCCTGTCGTGTTTTTCGGGGGGTAGTGGAGGCGCGGGCGTTGAGGCATCGAATGTATCGGTATTTACGGTGTTTCCTCGACTTTGCAGCTTGAAAACCTCGCACCTGCTGTTGTTTTCGCAGAGCATCCATGTGCCAACCATGATAACGTCCAGATCAGACCATATCCATGCCCGCAGAGCATCCATGTGCCAACCATGATAACGTCCAGATCAGACCATATCCATGCCCGCAGAGCATCCATGTGCCAACCATGATAACGTCCAGATCAGACCATATCCATGCCCGCAGAGCATCCATGTGCCAACCATGATAACGTCCAGATCAGACCATATCCATGCCCGCAGAGCATCCATGTGCCAACCATGATAACGTCCAGATCAGACCATATCCATTCCCGCAGAGCATCCATGTGCCAACCATGATAACGTCCAGATCAGACCATATCCATGCCCGCAGAGCATCCATGTGCCAACCATGATAACGTCCAGATCAGACCATATCCATTCCCGCAGAGCATCCATGTGCCAACCATGATAACGTCCAGATCAGACCATATCCATTCCCGCAGAGCATCCATGTGCCAACCATGATAACGTCCAGATCAGACCATATCCATGCCCGCAGAGCATCCATGTGCCAACCATGATAACGTCCAGATCAGACAGACCATATCCATGCCCGCAGAGCATCCATGTGCCAACCATGATAACGTCCAGATCAGACCATATCCATTCCCGCAGAGCATCCATGCGCCAACCATGATAACGTCCAGATCAGACCATATCCATGCCTGCAGAGCATCCATGTGCCAACCATGATAACGTCCAGATCAGACCATATCCATTCCCGCAGAGCATCCATGTGCCAACCATGATAACGTCCAGATCAGACCATATCCATTCCCGCAGAGCATCCATGTGCCAACCATGATAACGTCCAGATCAGACCATATCCATTCCCGCAGAGCATCCATGTGCCAACCATGATAACGTCCAGATCAGACCATTCCATGCCGCATGCATCCATGTGCCAACCATGATAACGTCCAGATCAGACCATATCCATGCCCGCAGAGCATCCATGTGCCAACCATGATAACGTCCAGATCAGACCATATCCATGCCCGCAGCATCCATGTGCCAACCATGATATAGCAGAGCATCCAGTGCCCATCCATGCCCCATCCAGCCAGACCATGTATCCATCACCATGATCCAGATCATTCCATGTGCATCCATCCATGCAGAGCATCCATGTGCCAACCATGATAACGTCCAGATCAGACCATATCCATTCCCGCAGAGCATCCATGTGCCAACCATGATAACGTCCAGATCAGACCATATCCATGCCCGCAGAGCATCCATGTGCCAACCATGATAACGTCCAGATCAGACCATATCCATGCCCGCAGAGCATCCATGTGCCAACCATGATAACGTCCAGATCAGACCATATCCATGCCCGCAGAGCATCCATGTGCCAACCATGATAACGTCCAGATCAGACCATATCCATTCCCGCAGAGCATCCATGTGCCAACCATGATAACGTCCAGATCAGACCATATCCATGCCCGCAGAGCATCCATGTGCCAACTATGATAACGTCCAGATCAGACCATATCCATGCCCGCAGAGCATCCACGTGCCAACCATGATAACGTCCAGATCAGACCATATCCGTTCCCGCAGACCATCCATGTGCCAACCATGATAACGTCCAGGTCAGACCATATCCATGCCCGCAGAGCATCCATGTGCCAACCATGATAACGTCCAGATCAGACCATATCCATTCCCGCAGAGCATCCATGTGCCAACCATGATAACGTCCAGATCAGACCATATCCATTCCCGCAGAGCATCCATGTGCCAACCATGATAACGTCCAGGTCAGACCATATCCATGCCCGCAGAGCATCCATGTGGGTCAGACTCTGAGTGCCTGAAAAGCAAAACCTGTGCGAAGCAGCTTGTTCCGTGAACAGCTTTACTTAAACGCCTCGATGTGTCCAAAACCCAAGCCGCAGCGCATTTCTTACCAAAATACTGATAGTTTCCGTGCGTCGACCTTGTTCAGTTCCCACTGTTGCAAAGCCTGAAAGTGCTGCACGTGCCATGTAAAACTACGCTTCCTCCTGGTACATCCTTGGAAAGGCGCGCGTGAACAGCACGTTGGAGCGTTGTTTATGTTAACATATGTTGCATAAAGCTCGGTTCTGCCGGTCGCATCAACCATTGTCATCGTAAAGCTGTTTCCCAGCCGTAGTCATGACTGCAGCCATACTTGCATGGCACCATGTCCGATCACCTGGTGTGACCTTAGGGGTTCCTGCACCTCATGCCTGAAACCTCAAAACCCCGAGAGCCTTGAAACCCTACAACCCGGAACCGGGAACTCTAACCCCTTAAACCCGTCTCCAGGAAAAGCTCGAAGGACCCCCCTTCCCTTCCCTGCGCTTCCCTTCCAAAAACCGCAGAACATAAAAGCAGCCGAGGCCCTGACCTGGGCAGCACTCCTCGGCCGCGCCGGCAGAGCCCACGGCGAGGCGCTGCTCTCGGCTTTGGAGACGGAGAGCAACGTCGTGGTCTGCAGCGCCTCGGATTTGGGGATCTACGTTTGGGGAATTAGAATTACAATATACTGTAATCTACCATAGCTATACTATAATATACGATAATATGGGGCTTTTGCGGGTGGCGATGATGATCCGATGGTCAAGACAAAGCTGAAGAAGAAGGTGACGACGTTCGATGGCGTCCATCAGCTCGCGGGCGAGCTTGACCTCGCAGCGGCTCTCCAGAGCGAGCTCGAACCGTACCCCGCACCAAAAGCTCTTCATCCTGATGACTGCTGAACCCCAAGTTTACCTGCGCTACTTAGCCGAAGATTGGGTTTGGGGTTGATCCTAAGCCCTAAACTCCTAAACCCCCAAACCGCTGAACCCCTAAACCCTTAAACCCCTAAACTCCCGCCGAAACCCCTAAATCCTAAACCCCCAAAAACCCCGAAACCCCTAAAACCCTAAACCCCTAAAACCCTAAACCCCTAAAGCCCTAAACCCCTAAACCCCTAAACCCCTAAACCCTGAGGTGCCGCGCTCGAGCTCTGCCAGCGGCTGGGCGACTCCGGGAGGGTTCGGGGACTCAGAGCAACGGGCTTTGGGTTGGGGCTAAAGGGAACTCCAGAAAGTTGGAATATGGTTTCAGGGTAGGATACCTTAGAATTTACCATAAAGGGTTTAGGATAATCATATTCCAACTTTCTGGCTTGTACCTTACAGGGGCAGCCGATGTCTGCGAGTTATCAATGTTCCGGGGGGTCTTGCTGAGTTTCCAAGGCTTTTCGGGTGAGTTCGAGGACGATTTCAGGGGCGGTCGGATTGAGGTTCGGGATATCATTCTCGCTCAGTGCGGAAAAGCAGAAATGCAGATGTGAGGGGCGGACCATGTTTCTGCAGGCTCGTCCCGGAATGTAAACTTTGAAACCACTGCGCCCTGCAGCCCAAAGGCCCAGCAAGGGCCTGAGCCCCACCCTTGACACCCTCCACTCCCGCCACTCCCAGAGATGCCATGGATGCCAGATTCTAGATTGAGACTCCAAACCGAAGCACCGAGAAAGCCACGTGGAAGGCTCTGGAGATCTTTTCTCAGATGCAGGAGAAGCTCGTGCGCCCGGACGTCCCTTGTCGCACAGGTTGCCAATCATGCCCTTGCTTGCTTGTGTCTTCCTAGGCAAGATCTTGCCTGGAATCACAGTTCTGCCATAACCATAGGTTTTCCGGTCGCAGGAAGTGGAGCAATCTTGTTTGTTGCACTGCAGTAGTGATGGCGCGTCTCCACTGACTAGAGAGCGTGCGGAGGTCCGGAGTGCTAGGATTTCAGTTCAGTGTTCGCAATGCTTATTGCTTTGGGTGTTATAGTCTATGTCTATGGGTCTTTGAAGCGCACTGGGCGCAGACGAAATTTGAGTGCATCGGACCCTTGAGGCCGTGACCTATGCCGCCGTAATTGACTGCTGCCTGGAGCAGGCTCAATTTCTGGAGGCCTGGTGCGGTGTGTCGTACTACCGATACAACTCACTAGGTTACGACGACCCCGACGTAGTGACTGGTGCTGCTGTTCCTGCTACAACAATTACTATATTGCTGCCGCTGCTGCTGCGGCAGCTGCTCCTCCTGCTAGTTCGACGACGACTACTACTCTTGCTGCTAGTACTACCACTACGTACTACGATGCCGACTACTACGACATCGACTACAACTTCTACTACTGTTGCTACTGCTACTATTGCTGCTATATGTAGCTACGCTACTCCCACTCCTACTTCAGCTCTTGCTAATCTCTTACTCCTACTCCTCCCACTCCTCTCCTGCTCCTGCCCCTCCTCTGCTGCCCCCGCCCCTTCCCTGCCCCTTGTGCCCCCCGCCCCTGCCCCTCTGCCCCTGCCCTGCTGCTGGTGCTACTGCGACTACTGCTGCAGGTGCTTCTCCTAGCACGGCTGCTACACTGCTCCGACAATGTCTACTCCTGCAATCTGCTACTGGAGCTGCTGCTGCTCCTCCTCCTGCTGCTGCTGCTGCACGTATTGGTAACTAGTACTGGTACCTACTGCTTCCTACCGATTCCGAGTACCTACTACCTCCTTTGCTGCGACTATTTCAAACACGACGACGACGACAAAAATGATGACGACAACGACGATGCCGACGACGAGTATCATGCTGTATCTCTACTAGTATGGCTAGTTTGGTTGTGGCTACTACTTATCTGCAGGCTTGCTGTCGCCTTGTGCGGTACAAGCGGTATCGCTACCAGGAGCTATACTTGGAATGACAACTGTTACCACAGCTCTTTCCCGGAGGGCCAAGCAGTCGAGAGCAGCAAGCCGCCCATTCCATACCCTGAGCCGGAGCAACTTAATGTAGGGGCCTTAATAATTAGAACAGGGTTATAAGCATAAGAAGGAGCCCCCAAAATAGTCTTGAATTATTTACGCCACTATATGGGCAGTTCTCTAAATCAGGGTCCCTTTTGGGGATCCTCTTCATAAGGGTGCCGTACTATATTTGGGAGCAAGAAAGGGCCCTGATTTAGAGAAGTACACATATTACTTACTTGGCTAATATGGCTTGGGGGATATTATGCTATGACTACAATAAGGAACCCCAAAACCCTATTCAGGCCCCTCCATTATTCAAAACCCCAACTGAGCCTTCGCAGGTGCAGGAGATGCTCGCCGATCTCCAGAGCTGCGTCCTGTGAGCTGAGTTGCGAATTCCGCGCTCCGAGAGTTTCTGCAGCCGCTACCTAGAGGCTCCATAGTAGTCACAGTTCCTTTTCGGGGTTCATAGTTAGAATCCTATAAGATAATCCCCAAAAGGAACTACTATGGACCCTTAGGGTAAGCAGATCCGAGCATCTTGAAAGCACATGCGGCGCAGCACAGCAAGCACAAAATTACGAAGTAACAAGCATGTGGAAGCACGAGGAAGAATGCACCGGCAGTCGTGAGTTTCACCAGGGGCGGCAGAATGCCAGGTGCATTCCGCCAGGTTGCAGAGCTGTTGCACGATGTCCGAAGCAAAAGGGGTGTGAAGAGCCTCATTGGTGTGCTTGCGCGCTTATCCCTTTTGCTATCCGAAATCATGAATGCCCATTCCAATTAGCTACGACCCTCAGCTACAAAGTTCAGACCATATGAACCCAACCCCCTACCCCCTGAGCGGGTACGTACCCTTGCTCAGCCGGCCTGCCACCAACCACCCTAAACTCCTAAACCATCAACCTCCCTAAACTCTGAACCACCCAGAAAAGCGCCGGAAAGCCGGCAGGTTGCCTCGCCGAAGTTTGCGACGTCTTCGCTAGGGGAGGTCCCGGGTCCGAGGGCTGCTTTCAGGGTTTAGGGTTCAGGCTCTTGGGGTTTAGGTTTTGGGGTTTAGACTTTAGGGGTGTGCTCGGGAGGTCACGCAGACATCTCTTCAGAGGGAGGCTTGGGCTGGCTTGCGGGTTTTGGGATTTCGGGCGTGTGGTGTTGAGGGCTCTCTGATCTGTGGTTGAGGGTTTGAGGTTCGGGCTTGTGGAGATCTGGTTTGAGCCGGCGTAGCGATTAACGGTTAGATTTTAAGCGAGGCTTTCGAGTTTGCCCTCATCCCTGCGTCATTTAAGGTTCGGGATTAGAGTGTTGGAGCGTTGCCTATGCGGGTTCGGCTTCCTTTTTGAAGCTCTTCCTTGTAAGCAAGTCAGAATTCCAGCTTGGCTTTGTTGAGATACAATGCAGAGTATCAGAGGCCGGAGCTGTTTCAGCATCCTTGGGTGCTTCGTCTATGCCCTCCGTTGTGCGCATGGTGTTGGCTAGATGCACCTGTGTATGCTCAGCTGGACCAGAGACTCTGGTTGAGCAAGCGCGTTGGCGTGCATGCATGCATACAAACATGCACGTCTGTTTGTTATCGTTCATGTTGTGTACATACATGTAAATGTAGATATGACCATGCATGCAAGTTTTTGCGTGCAGAATGAGCACCTTTTGTGCATGATGATATGCCAAAGCTTGAAAAAGCCGAGGTCGCAGCCTCCTTCCATGCGAAACTCTTGGATGCCCTCCCATCTTTGGCTGCAGATCTGGCATCTCTGGCCGATTGGAGGGTTTGGGTAATTCAGGGCATCGGGCTCTGTCTATTCAAGGGAAAAAGACAGCTTGCCTGATGCAGCTGCGATTGAACTTTGCAGCGTCCAGCCAGCTGTTGCGATAGTCGGGTAGTTTGCGTGAACCCCACTGACTCTGCGGTGCATACCATGCAGGTGGATCTTGGAGAGGCGCGGAGTCGGGGTCAGAACGGTCTCAGGGCTGGAGGTTTGGCGTTCGTGGGATACGTTATTGCCACCGCCAGTCGTTTGCTTCTTGCATAACCGAAGAGGCTTTACATCGAAAGGGCGGAATGCAAGCCTCTGGAGGTCTTGGAGATGCCCAGCCAGGAGACTGCTTTATGCAGGGTAGGGCATTCTTCGTTATTTTGCATTTCTGGCAGTGAGGGACAGTGCTTTGATTCAAATCTTACGACCAGTAACTGGTCAGTGCGTGAAGCCGTAGCGGCTGTAGCGTGGAAGCATCTCGAAGCCAATCACACACCCCAGCAAGTCTCGAGCCTCCCTTCGGCCGTACATGCTTGCATCCCCTCTGCTTTGACCAAAAAGACCCAGAAGCACTGATGTGCGAAGGATCCGGAAACACTCTGGGTCCAGCTGGCCGAGCAAACGCGGCTGGCACCGCTGGAGGCGCTGGTGTGCTGTTGTGTTTCTCCTCTAACGTTGGTAATTATTGCAATTGTGAATTTCATTTCATTTCATTTCAACGAACGTGATTCGCAGAGCGGCCATGCCCAGAAGCAGTGGATGACCGCTCTGTCAGAACGCTTTCTGCGCGAGTTTGCTCAGATTTTACAGAAGCCTAGATACACCAGGTATTCAGGAGACAGCGGGAGGGAGGCTACCTGTTTCATGTCGCAGCCAGGCTTCGCTGAGCTTCTTGCCGTGGCATCAAAGGTTTGGCTGGCCTAGGGTGGGTTTCAGGTTTTCGGGGCACAGGTTGGGGGGTTAGGGTACATTCCTGGCTTGGTGTTTCGGGCTTCTGGGTGCAGGAGTTCCCGATGACAGCGGGCATTGGGTCCTCGAGACAAGATTCTCACACGACCGGACGGCGTAGTGTTTCACAGATGCGCCATCAATGTAGTAGTGGTCGTCGAAGTACTATTCTAGCTACGATTATCATCATCAGTACAAGTATAAGTAGTACCATTATAGTTATCGAAGTACCAGTATAGTTACGACTATCATCATCAGCACGAATATAAGTAGTAGTCGTGGTGTTCCCTCAACCGTGCGGCCCCAATGCCTGGAGCCCAGCCACCACCTCTCAAAGTCCCCGGTGCCTTCAGAGAGCCCCGACATCGTCCAAAAGGGGAGTTTCAGGAAACTAGGGCACCCTAGCGCAGAGAAGCAATCAAGGAGGTCCATGGAGATACAGTGCAAGAGGGCGGAGGTGCCTGCAGCTGCTACCAGTAAGAAATATGATAAGGCAGATGGCAATGGTGATAGCGATGGTTCAAAACGAGGGATGTCCACACCCCAAACAGCTAAACCAGAAAATCCGATTCCCTAAAGCCCCCTAAGCTTCCCAGGTGCCCTTCATGCAGCCGGTGCCGCCGCCGAGGCCAAAGCTTCGCCTCAGGGCACCTCGGCACCGACAGACCTAGCTGCTTTAGGACAGTTAGAACGAAAATCACACAAGAGGGTGTGGGTGGGGCCTGTGGGTCTGGGCAGACCTTGTCAGTCTGGCACGTCCTTGCTTGGTCAGCTTGTACGTTCGCGACTACGTTGCTACTTGTCTTGGTGTTCATGTGCACCCGTGCAGACATGCATGACATTGACTGCATTGAAACGAGACCATGAGAAGAGTAGTGAGAAGAACGACGTGACTTCACTGTATGTATGCATGCTCGCAGTCACTTTACCGTTCATTGAACAACCAGCATGGATGGTGAAGATGTTAGCGGCAACACTGGTACAGCACGTTAGGCCGGTGAGGACCCTGAAATCAACATGCACAGCTTGCAAACTGTGCAGTCGACCGAGACATGGAACGTGATATGCTCATTGACAGCCTTGTAGGAATACTGTTGTAGCATCCGCTTCTTTGCATTAGGTCTGGTGGTAGTCGATGACCATTTTTGCTGTTCGCCTCATTGCTGTTCCCCATGTTCGGGGCTGCTGTCAATGCTGTTCCGACTGCTTTGTCGTCGTTACTACTCTCGGCTTTTCTATACGACTGAGGCTATATCCGGCACTGGACAGGTCAGCGGACCGTGCCTTGGCGGCCAGTTTGGTTACTTTGGAGCTGGGGCAGCTGGGTACGTGCAAAAACTCGGTTTTTGTGTTGTCGAGACTACATTCGGTTCTCACTGCACGTGATCGTGTGCAAGGCTCAGTCAGATGGAGCTAGTCGCTCGCACGTGAGGTCACAAACAAAGGACCGGAGCCTACAGTGCCTACAGCTCTCACTGCTTCTGCTACAACGACGATGACGGGGACGAGGACTATGACGACGACGACTGCTGCCGCACTCCCCTTCTCGTCATCGTCGTCATTGCAATCAATGCTGCTATGTTTTGGATACCACCACCAATGTGCAGTTTTCCTCTGATTGCATTTGTCGGATAGTAAACTCAACAGCCCTGGATGCCGCACTTGAGTGGACACTTCTTTCCCAGAGCTCCGAACCAGGACCTGAGCACCCATCGATCCGTATTCTTTCTGTAGATCTGAACGCGAAGGTGATGGCGAATGTGCTGTCATGCCTTTTCTTCTTGTTCTCGTTCCTCTGGCTCTTCTTCTTGTCCTTCTTCTTGTTATTCTTGTTGTTATTCTGGAATCACGAGAACCTCGACTGCGAAAAGCGCTGTTGCGAGTTTTTGAACAGCTTCAGGTGCCCTACATGCGCCTCCGCTGGGTTTCAGCACTACTCTGGCGCTAATGGTCTGCTTGATTGCGGAGTTGAGGAATTGATAAATGGACCCTGAATCTGTTCAAGGCTGAACTTGAGGATCTGCGAGCACAAAGCTAACGGGAGTTATTGATTTCAACTAAAACTAACTCTTGCTGCTTGTACTTTGAATGGAAACGCAGGTTGCAGTGCCTGGTGTGTTACCGAGTTCCCTTCCGTGGTTCTCTCCTCCTCGTACTTGTGATCATGAGCACCATTCCGCATGTTAGGATGGCTAGGGCAGGGTTGTCTGTGGTTATCGCGACAACGTAGAGGACAGAGACCCTCCCCGCGACTGAAGTCTCTGAAGCACCCAGCCCTAAGGCTTAAACTCCGAAATTCGTACAGCCTTGACATGATACAGAAATCCACACCTTAACGCCGTTGCATGAAACCGAGCCCAGAAAGCCTGTTACCTTTGAAGCCCTGGACCCCAAACCCCAACATCCTTTGAACCCGTAGATCCTTCAGCTCTCACCGCCTGAAACTTCCAGCCCTCAAACCGCGCGCCTAGCTGAAGCCTTCAACTCGTCGACCGTTGCACTCAATCCTTCCAAGGGCCCTTAAAGTGATTAAGTAACCCTACGAAAGTACGTCAGCTAACGTGCGTGCACCTTTTCAACTTCAAATACTCTCCAGTTGTCCTGAAAAGCCCCCAAACCCTAGAACCCTGGAGGCTAGAACCGTACACTTTGCAGCTCTAAGCCCTAAACGCGAGAACCTC